AGAGCTTGATAAAGCAGCGGCTCAAGGGCTCCACCACGTGGAAGTCAGGAAATGAGGCCTCCAGCAAGACATTTCCAAGACTCATCTGGAGCAGGTACCACCCACAAGAAGGCCAAGGCTGGAGATGGGGAACAGGGGCCCAGTGGAGCAGCCAGGCCCCGCTTCTGACCTATAGAGCACAGAAGGGTAACTTGGTACAGTGTCCCCCACCGCCCGCTCCAGCCTCTTCTGCGTCACCCTGCCCCAGGGAAGACAGTGGCCACAGCGGCCTCCTTTGGCTTTCTCCAGCCCCAGGAGGGACACATGGGGGCAGCTGGAAAGACACTGGAGCTCTTCTCCCCTTTTTGGGAATTAGATGGAATTAGCTTTGCTAAATTCTCCCATTAGCCCTGCCCACCAAATGCCCCAGTGAGAGCAAAAAGGCCGCCTGCCAGCTGCTGCTGCTGGCCTACGGAGCAGCCTAGCCCTCGCCCCCGCCCCGCTGCCTTCCCCCTGCAGCACTCTGCCCCACCGCCCCAGGCCTTGCAGCCCCTTCAAGTGGGATGGGGCGGGGACTCTGCAACCATCAGAGATGCAGCAATGTCTTCACTGGGGGATGCCAGGGAAAGCATGAGCTTTGCTATCAAGCAGGACTGGGCCAGAATCCCAGCTGTATCTGTACCACTTTAAGCAAGCAGTACACAAGGAGAAGACCTCTCTGAAAGTCATCTCAAAAATGGAGGAAATAACATTTTCTTTATTTTGCTGGTTTATTATGTCTTTCCCACTGTGCTCCATGAAGCAGACACGGTTTTTGTTTTTTTAAATCCTCACTTGAGGACATTTTTCCCCATTGTTTCTTCAGAGAGAGTGGAAGGGGGGAGGAGAGGGAGAGAGGGAGAGAGGGAGAGAGGGAGAGAGGGAGAGAGTCCGACCGACCAGACATCAGGGAGCTCTCTTGTCCCTTCCTCCACATGGGGACACAGCGAGTAGACAGCTGTCCATTAACCAGGAAGTGAGGCTCACCAGACAGTGACTCTGTCAGTACCTTGATCTTGGACTTCCCAGCCTATGGAACTGTGAGCAATAAATGTCTTATTTAAGCCACCTAGTTTTTTTCAATAGCAGCCTGAATGAACTAAGACAGTGAATTTATAGAAGATCCGGTTTGTCTTGAATGACTTTTTCTTTAGAAGTATTTGGCTGCTGGGATGCAAATATAAAAAAACTGGATTGTAGGGCTCATAACAGGTTGGGGAAATATATATGTTTCTTGATTAGGGTAGCGCCTGCACTTAAAAAGAAACACCCTTACTCAAAAAGGGCATACACAAATGACGTAGCTATGATACAGTTTATTTCAACATACTAAACTAAAACAAAATAAAACAACTCATTTCTTTGGGGGGAAAAACACACAGATTCCATATATGCAGGGTTGTCTTGATTCACCATAATGTGTTTTAGCAAAAAATATGTAGGTACACCACACCTCATAAAGCTCTCAATACACAGTAGATCCCAAATAACTCTGCTAAATGACCAAACATTAGAAAAAATCAAAACATAGTTATAAAACAGAGTCAAGTGCATGAGTTAAGAATCTTGTGAACTTAGCAAAAGACTGAGTTATTACATTTTTATCTATATAAAAAAAATCATTCTCTAGCCTTCCATTTTCACCTAGATTTTCTTTAACAGAATGAAGCCTAAAACTCAAAAGCTTAAATCCCTTCTCCCTAGAGCCTCAGGAATGTCAGACTCCCTGCCTCACACCTGTAGCTGCCTAAGAAGGAGCAGACGACTGAAAACAAAGATACACAGATTTCACTTCTACACTACTTACGAAGATTCTCGTGAAGACGAGTTCCTGAGTTGGCTACCAGTTCAGTGAACTTAGTTCAAAAACCTAAGACCTGATCAAAGAACTAAAATGGCTCTCACACAGCCCATCAGCAGCTTTCTTTATCACTGAAAACCAGTTAGTGGCATTTAGCCCTCAGCTTAATCTGCACAAATGCAATCTTGGAATTCTATGACAGTGATGCTAGCATATTTATATGTGAAATGCAAGGTTCTGACAATTAAATAATATATTTTTAAAATATGCAAGCTGCTGTCTTTTTCAATAATCACTTTTTAAATGAACAAATGAAAACAAAATGGCAAAAGCAGAAAATGTGGATGTTCCAAAATGAGACAACTGTAAAAATTTCACACATAAAGACATGACTGGGGTAAGCTTACATTGTATTAATAACTGTTCATTGTTGTATATAATTGAACAGCAAAACAGCCCTGTCTGAAAGCACTGGATCAAACTGTCTTCCCAAATCCTTCCAAGATATGATTCTACATACTACAATGAAATATATTTAACAAATGCAATATATCATAGAACTACCAGTTTTTATATTCCTAAATAAACTTTAACTACTATAGCAATGACTTAAATATATGTGCTGTTAAAAAATTATAAACATACTCTGATTTTTTCTTTACCTGCGAGATAATATTAAAAAGAAATGCCACAACTTCTTGATTCCTTAAAAACTAAGAACCAAAGTACTAAACATAATAAACAAACATGCAACCTGGAGGCCTGGGAAAGGGTACAGACTACTGAATGTAATACACCAGTATATTAAAAACTCGGTATGTCAATATTAAAATTTCTTCATCTCAGTAGTTAAGATTTATTGCTACTATAAATAAGCTTCATATTAAGGCACCTGTCATTATCTATGAGAAAAATTTGGATTCAAAACAAATAGAGACTGTAAATATGGACTATTTTTCTTTTATTCTGACATCATTAGAGATATTATCAATTTTAAATTTAAGTTTTTGTATGGCAGTAAACATATTTCAACATTTACCCGAATATAGCTAAGATGTTTATGATACTTTGATACTTTAATTAATGTGCATGATACCTTAATTGAAGTATATAATATTTTAATGGGCAAGTAGGCAAAATCAAATCGAGATGGCTGACAAAGGACTAGATTCAAGAAATATGATGGCCTTTAAAAAAAAATCACTTTGTAGGGATAGTGACTATGAACAGACCTTGATCAAGTCATTTAACTTCTCTGAGCCTCACTCTTTCCGTTGGCAAAATTTCAATACTAGCTGCTCTGTCAAGCTCATAACACTGTTGTGAGATCAAATGAGGTGATGTAAAACCACTTGGCAAACTACGAAGCACTGAACAAATAAATGGTATTATCGTAGGCCAAATATCTCAAGTTTCTAATATTATCCTCTCTAACAAATAAGGTTATAGCCATTTCTTTTTTCATCCACTTGAGAACTCCCTGTTTTAATCACTTAGATAGTTGTGTCATGAATGGAGCACAAATTTATACAAAGAGAAAATCTCTAAATTTGAGCTTCCAGAATTTATAAAGTGGTATGCTGTGAGTGGGGGACCCCACTGCTTGCTGGGGCTCAGGCTACCTCTGACACTTCCTTACAGGAAAGAGGGGCAGCCTTCTCAGAGAGCTTGGCTCCTGGCCTTTCCTTGGTCTCCTCGTAGAGACCTCTGTCTCCCTCACCATCTGCTATCGTGGGCATGCACAGTTCCATTAAAAGAACTACATCTCACAACAGCATAAAAGAGTTATAAGAGTATTAAAGAAACACAGCCGATCCCAATCACAGTACATTACTCAGCTTGCACAAATTTGAAATGGTGTCATAACCCCACCAGGTTCTCCTTGGCTTAGTCCACAAGCCCTTCTACATATAAAATGGTTCCAGGCCAGCTTTTTCCAAACCGTGTTCTGAAAACACTAGTCAGATTAGATGTTAACAAAAAACACTTCTGCGTAAATAAGTTTGGAATATGCAGACGGAAGCAAGTGTACGTACTGCAGAATTTCTCAGTCTTTGATTTACTGAGTGTACACTGTAAAGAGGAATGGACTGCACAGCATTTCCCAAACTCATTTGTCCACAGAATCCCTTTTCCCCACAAAATACCTAGAGGGTCCATAATAGCTCTTAGAATACTCTTTGGGAAATGCTGTTTTAGCTAATTCACCTAGTTTTAAACATTCCAGGGTGATGTCTGGCAAGAGTTACCCTTTTTAATTTCTGAAGGAGCAGAATCATTTTGCTCACAAGGCCAACTACCATGATAACCTCCTGGATTCCACTCCATAAGTATCCTGCCCAAAGCAACTAAGAACTAAATTTCCTTTACTACATACTGAGGAATTCAAAGAAGTTACTCTCAAATGAATGAGAATTATAATTTTTAGGAAATCTTTATATCCTTCCTCAAACATTAAAAATACAAAGATCTAGCTCTAGGTCTTAGGATCTAGAATCACAATTACTTTGAGATCGGAACATTTTATCACAATATCACTGCAATTAACACTATCAATAATAATAATCAGTAGTAATAGCAGTAGTGGTGGTAGTACTGACTAAGCACTTATTTTGTGCCTTAATCCTCATGTCATGTCTATGAACTTAAGACCTACTATTGCACTTATTTTATTTATTTTTTATTGATTTTACAGAGAGGAAGGGAGAGAGAAGGAGAGAGAAACCGATGTGAGAGAGAAATATCGATCAGTTGCCTCCTGCATGTGCCCTGACCAGGGATCGAACACACAATTCACGTATGTGCCCTGAACAGGAATCAAACCCACCAACTTTTGGTTAACAGGACAACGCTCCAACCAACTGAGCCACACCAGCCAGGGCTATTACATTCATTTTAAAAATAAGTACACTGAGATTGAAAGCGATTAAGTGACTTGCCAAGTGTCACACAAAGTGTAAGGAAAGAATCTCAAATTCATATCTGACATCTCACCTCAAGCTATTAATCACTACATAATGCCATCTTGTATTCTGGTAACAAAACAAAAGGATTTAGGTCACACTCTGGTTGTGAAACTGGAAAGTTAGAGTGTATTCATATAGATCCTAATGGATTATTATTTGGTTTTGAATTTCCTTTTCAGGAAACTCCTTAAAGGAGATACTTTAAAAGGGTTTTGTTTGGGGTGTTTTTGTTTTTGTTTTGTTTTATTTTTTTAAGCAGAGAAAAATAGACTGCTATTTACCAGTAAGTTTAAATAAGGGAAGGGTTTCAAAAATCTGCATCCAAGGTGAAGACATTATCTGTGTTTTCCGCCATCACTGCAAAACGCTGATACTCTGAAACTCGTTTCTCAAAGAAATTTGTTTTCCCTTCTAAAGAAATGTTTTCCATAAAATCAAAGGGATTTTCTGCCTGAAAAAACTGGGGAAAAAAAGAAATATTAGACATTCTGAAGAAGCCAAATTATATCCCATAAGAAGCAACAGACAACTAACACAGAGTTCAGGTCTCCCAGCATCTGTCTAGGCACACCCAGGATCACACTATTCCCTAAGGACCTGGAGGCCCTCAAAACTGATAAATGCTCAGGTGACTAAGATCACCTACTAGCCTCTTCAGGAAACTACACTAGCATCTCTGGTATTCTAGGAAGTGGAAAGGGAAAAGAAGTTTTTTTCAGGAAATGTAAGATTTAATACCAACCAACTAAAATGTGACTAAGGTCACATAGCTAGAAAGCAGTGGAACCAGGATTCAAACCCAGGTAGTGTGGCTGCAGCTTCCATCTGTAAGTCATGTGAAAAGCACACCTCTTTATGAAACTCAGGTACATTATCTTTGACAAACAAAATGACAGAATAACTTAAAGACAACTGAGTTCAAAGAGTAAATTATGACAGTTAATGTCTTCATAGTAACTATGTCCTAGTTAATAATGTTATAAGTATTAACCCAAAAATTACAACAAAGGCAAATGGAGATTTATATGAGGGTAAAACATATATATGCATATTAAATGCAATTACTTAAAAATAAACTGATTTAGCCCAGCCAGCGTGGCTCAGCGGGTCAGCATCAACCTATGATCCAGGAGATCTAGGTTCGATTCCCGGTCTGGGCACATGCTTGGTTGCTGGCTCAATCCCTAGCGGGGGGGCCTGCAGGAGGCAGCCAATCAATGACTCTCTCTCATCATTGATGTTTCTATCCCTTCCTCTCTCTGAAATCAATAAAAATAATCTGATTTATTGAGCTTATTAGTTCCAAGATTTATCAGCCTCCTCCTTCTGTTCATGAATTTCATTTTAAGTTTCAAAGGATTTTGCAAAGCCAATTTTTCATGCAAAACAAGGCTCTGTCACGGACATTTTAAAAGTAAACTAGTATGTTACAAATGCTTTCAGTTGAAATATAATATTTTAGTGGCCTTACTTGACAATAACATTTTAGCTTAGTAACAATACATTTTAAAACTCTTACTTTTGAGAATCCAAGTTCCACAAGTAATCTGTCAGCTACAAACTCAATATACTGTTTCATCAAAACAGAATTCATTCCAATGAGGCCAACGGGCAAGGCTTCTGTTAAGAACTTCTGAGAAAAAAACAAAAACAGAATACAGTACAAAGACAGAACAAGAAATAAGTATGGATCTTCCAAATAAAAAGATGGTTTTAGTTTTATTCATCTTCTAAGTCACTAATCTTGTCCAAGGAAAGTACACTAGGTTAAATTCTCTCAACATGGCAAACAATGTCCATTTGTTTAAAAATGTTTGGGATGTTTACTGTTCACATTATTTCACATCCTCAAATAGTCAAAATAAATTGAAACTAATTATCAAATTACTGGTACTTTTAATTTTTATTTGATTGATTTTAGAGAGAGAAGAAGAGAGAGAAACATCAATTTGTTGTTCCACTTATTTATGGATTCACTGGTTGATTCTTGTATGTGCCCTGACCAGGAATTGAACCTGCAACCTTGGCATATTGGGATGATGCTCTAACCGGCTCAGCTGCCAGGCCAGGACAAATTACTGGTATTTTTAAAAGCAGCGCATCTAGGACCTGAATTCATATACTTTCTCAATAGAAAAAAGGAGATACTTTGTTCTGAAATATCTAGAAAAATATTCATCAAAGATAATCATTGTGGGGAACATGATTATGGAAGGACGTTGCAAAAGAGAAAAAACAAAATTAACGAAAATGAGAAAGAAACAGGATTGGATCTGAGGGTTGGGAGAGAGACTGAACTCCAAGTATATTAAAAGACAGTGGTACCCGGCTGGGTGTAGCTCAGCAGTTGAGCAATGAGCTAGGATCCAGGAGATCGAGCTTCGATTCTCGGTCAGGGCACATGCCCAGGGCTTGATCCCCAGTCGGGGATGTGCAGAAGGCAGCCGATCAATGACTCTCTCTCATCATTGATGTTTCTCTCTCTCTCTCTCCCTCCCTCTCTCTTCCTCTCTCTCTAAAATCAATAAAGATATATTTAAATAAATAAATAAAAAAGACAGTGGTAACATGTTAATAGAGGGGGGTAAAAAACATTAACTATCTGGATTTAGTTCTCAAAATGATTAAAGACACCAAAATGTATTTTATGCCTTTTCCCCTTCCCAATATGAAAAGTATGGCTGTTTAACTATGCAGTATTTTTTTTAAATTTGTTTTACTTTTAAACTAGTTCTTTCAAATGATAAAAACACATCCTAAGTGGAGCATCCAGATCTTTCTAGTCATAGGTCGCTACATGCTATAAATTAAGTTTTACTATTTACTCACTAACTCATTTACTCATTCACTCTCTAAGCATCTGGTGCCTTCTTCAAGCTAGGTCCCTGCTGGGTTTTGAGAGTTCAAGACACACAAGAAGCCATCGCCACTCTCTGGCAGCCCATAGCCTAAAAATACAAATTCTGTGCCATTTGTCACAGCACAGAATTTGATAAGTTGATAAAACAGAAAAACAGCCCTTAAACAGATTTTATATACATGAAACCTTAATATGTAATACTTACTTATAAACCAAGTTATAAACTGACATAATAATTGTACTACATTTCCTATTGGTACTGTCAGATTGACCATATAAAATTGCTGATGTTTATTTTGACCTACAAAATGGCAGTTTCATATGAATCAACCTAATAATATAATGGTACAAACTTGAGAGAGAGAAATGCTAACCATATGTAAGCTTCCCTGCTCACCTGCTCGATTTTAACAGCATTAACAATGATCTCCCTGGCCCTTTCTTCTGAAGGCTTATTTACCAAGTATCGAAACATCAGGCAAGCAAAGTCACAGTGAAGCCCCTAAAACAGAAGAATAATACCAATGTCAAGAAAACATTTTATCAGCTATTTTCACACAGTGACATGTCAGGCATCATACAGAATAGGTTCTAGGGATATAACACGTAACCTCTGGAAGATGGAAGAAAGGTTAAAAGGGCCAGGGACTTCTTTTCTTCAAATCTCATTAAAATGCAAATTATAATAACCTATAAAAAATATTTCAGTGCCAGCAAATCTTAGTTCATCAATATTAGAGGGGAGAATTAACTAACAACAATAAAAGACATGTTCCTATGTTGCTAGGTAAGGATGAATACTGATATAAAATTTCTGTGAAGAAATGTACAAACAAGTGTGAATGACCGTTAAAATGTTTATACCTTATAATCTAACAATTCTACCTCCAGGAAATCTAACTAAGGAAAATATTATGAATTTAGGACAAAGCTTATATACAAAGATATGCATTTTGCATTATAGCAAAGCAAATAAACAAGAAGTCTGGAAACAACCTAAATTTCTAACTATAGAATAGTCAAATAGTACTACTCATTAGAATATTACATATCTAACAAAATTACTGTTTATAAAAAATGCTTAATGTCGTAGAAAAATGCTCACAATATTCTGCTAAGTGAAAAAATAATAGCTCACAAAACTACAAAGATAGCAGAGTATCTCAAACTGTAAAAATAGAATGTCTGTGTATATCTACATAGTTTCAAATGCAGAAAATCACCAAGAAAGAATACAATGAAATATTAAAAGTGGTTATCTCTGTGTGTTGAGATTGAGTGATTTTATTCTCTTAATTCTCTATAATAATTACATATGACATTTATAATAAAAATTATTAGAAATTTAAAGGGGTAAATCAACAAAAAGTTGATTTTTGTTGATTTACAAAGTATTTTATGACACTTAAAAAGTACTCACACATACTGTTTAATAGCATTTTAACAAAACCCTGTTTAGATTTAGTTGAAGATACTGAGTCTCAGAGAAGTAAAGTAACTTAACAAGGTCACTTAGAAATAAGCTGGGGAACTAGGATTAATATAGTCAATAAATGTGAACTGAATTGCTGTAATGGGCTAAGTACTGAGAACAGAAAGATAAATGACAAGGATTTTGCACTCTAGGAGCTTAGAGCCTAGCCAAGGAGAGAGAAAAGAAGTACAATATATGTTATGGACTGTAAGACAGGGACAATTTCGGTTTCAAAGAGACACATAAAGGAAAGAGTGGTCAATTTTACCTAATTGGGTCAGGAAAGTTCTGAGTTGCAACTTGTAAGAAGCTAATCAACAAATTAAAAAACTGGTAGGGGGAGATTAAAGATGGTGGCAGACTGAGTGGAAGCTACACTGACATTCCCAGGACCAAACTGGAACTATGACTAAACTATAGAAAAACCACCCTGAATAATCAACTACAACTGAAGACAGGCTGGAGAGCACCCTCATAACCAAGGAGAAAAAGGGGAGACCACACAGAGACGGGTAGGAAGTGTGGAGGCACAAGAGCGCTGAATGGGCTCCCACAGGCAGCAGCTGAAGGTCCGGAGGGAGATCTCAGCTGTGGGGGGTTCCCACTGAGGATTCTGGGGCCTAACTCCAGGCTGGGCTTCCCTGCCCAGACCACCAGAATTGAGAAAGGTGCCCAGGATAGAAAAAAATCATTCAATCAGAGATCCAAAAAGAAAAACAATTAAAAAACAGGAGGACAATCTAAGGGAACTGTAGGACAACATGAGACATAACAATATTTGCATCATAGGAATGCCAGAAGAGGTCAAAAGTAAGCAAGGGTTAGAGAACCTGTTTGAAGAAATAATGGGAGAAAACTTCCCTAACCTGGTGAAAAAATTGGTAGGAAAGATGGAAAAGGTACCGCAGGCAGAGGGAGATAAGATTTAGTTATTGTCTGGGTATGTGTGAAAAAAAATAAACCATCTAAAATGACTCCCAGATTTCAAATTTAAAGGACTGGATGTAAGTTAAAGACCCTCAGTAAGATATGGAAAACAGAAGGAAGAACAAATCTTGGGAGAAGGATGATGAGTTTGATTTCGCCTTCCAGGAGAAACCATCTAGCAAATTCAACAGGTTTGGAGCTCAGAAAAAAATATATGGGCTAAAGATAAAGTTTTGGTTGTTTTGAGCATCTGGATGGTAGCTGATTCCATGGGAATAAATCAGCCAGGAGGTCATGTACAGTGAGAGAGGCCATGATGGGAACCAGGATATAATATTTAAGGATGAGCAGAGGAGACTGAGGAGCTTTTAATTACTAGGATCCTTGTGTCACCATAAGCATTTTCCAGGGGAAAGAAAAAGAAATGAACACCAAGTATGGATACAAATATAACTAGAAGAATACTTCACTCCTTACTTCATCTCTGCTGATGAGTTCATTGGAAAAGGTGAGTCCAGGCATAAGACCTCTTTTCTTTAACCAGAATATAGCAGCAAACGATCCCGAGAAGAAAACTCCTTCTACAGCAGCAAAGGCCACCACCCTTTCCCCTGAGAGACAAAAAAAGTTTCATTTTCTGAAATATATATTGCAGACATTTTTAAGCTACACAATCACACACACACATGCTCTTTTACATATTTTTTATAACAATACCACAATTCTTCTGTCCAAAAACAAAATCAACAAGTTAGTGCAATAACCAGAGTCTTTAGAGGAAGAAATCCGCCACCTCTACCTCCTATAGCAGAAAGGTGCAGAAAGGTACATCTACTTCAAATCCTATGTTAGACACTGAACTCACCTATAGGTCTTGGTATGCAGACAAAGGAGAGCCTTTTATACTTTAAAAAAAAAGGTGATTTATCTGTGCACCACGCGTGCCTGTGAGTTCAGTAAGTGTGTGTGCATGTGTGTCTCTCTCAGAGTGGAGAGTGGAAGACAGCTTTTATGACAAATGTCTCCCTCTTTGTGGCTGGGGGAAGAAAGGTCACTGAGGTTTATATGTTTAGAAACCTAAGGTATCTCACAGATTAGCTATAAACATTTCAAAAATCACTGCCCTGCATCTGCAATTAGAGAAAACGCAGATAAATCCAGCTGAAAATTATAAATATGTCTATCAGATAAAATGTCCCATCACATAGGAAAAATACTGTTCTCTGCTAAACATATAAGGCCCAATTTCAAAGGTTCCTCACTGTTCGGCAAGGACTTTGCAGAAGCCCATCTCCTGAAATGTCTCTAGTGGCAGCATATCTGCAACACTATCTCTAGGGGATGATTATAGGTCTAACCCAAAAGAAGGTCATTCTCAAGCCCCTTATGCCACCATATTGCATGCTCGGGAGAAATATTTATCTATAAGTCTGCCTGGGGAGAAGAGTTTGTTCTATAAGACCATGAAATAAAGGCAACTACAGACCATAGATGACACTGTAGCTTGTATCCCAGTACTTGCTGCATGACCAAAAACACAATAGCAGGCACTTAATAAATGTGTCCTGATCTGAATCAATGGGGACTATGTAAGCACTAGATGATAAAAGACATTAGAGAAATTGCTAAAAGTTGATGCAGAAACTGAATAAATATTTATAACTTCCCAAAGGTAATTGTAATATTTAATTTCTAAGAGAAAGGCGACTAAGCTTCAACAGTTCTGGGTGTCTCTAAATAGTGCTTTGGTATGCCCTTGTTCTTACCCATGATTAACATAAACAAACCAAATCAGATAGATCAACTATATCAAATATTTGTCTATTATTAGCCCGAAATACCAGAAACACTTTTATAGGATCTTATTTTCATAGACACAATTTAAAAAGTCACTTTGAAAAAATGGCAGAATAAATATAAATTAAATAAGTACTTGAGTACATACTGTGTAGAAGGAATTAACAAAGGAAGTCTCTTTAGTTTGGTATATATTAAATATGCTATAATTAAATCTCAAAATATATAATAATAATAATCACTATGTTCTGCTGACTCTTTTGAAACAAAAACAGGTCTTTAGTCATATTTTTAAGATGGAAATTTATCATTAGTTTAACACAGATTACTGTATTTCCACTTACTATTAATAAGGTAATGAATAGTTGTAATTGATATTTTTCACTGACATAAAGGTGATGTCACATGGACATTTATTTATCTGTACGGGAATGAGACTAATTTAACATAAGCACTGTGAATAAAAATAAAATTATTTTAACTATTCTGTGTATTCATGTGAATGCTAAAGAGTGAAAATCGTAGCAGCTAGAGTTACAGGAGGCTATTCTTCTTGGAGAGGATTAAAGGATCATAAGGGGTAAATTTTACAAATTTTCATGAACAGATGTGAACTAAAAAGAGACTTCCAAAACATTTCTTCTAAAAGCTATAATGAATGCGAAGGCTTCATGATCTGTTTTAGAGAAAGTAGGATGTATTTTAAAGATGCAGCTGACCTCTATGGTGCAATGCACTAAGGTTGTATAACTACAGGCTTTTTGATGTTTGAAATTTCATTACATATATTAAGGATGAATTTATATATTTAATGTCTTAAAGTCCTTTAAAGATATTTTTTAAAATTAGTATATCTCAATTTGTAAAAAACTAAGCAATATGTAATTAAGAATTTTTAGCTTTACAGGAATTGAATCTCCTTATAACATATCAACTTTCAAACAAACTAATGCTTTTTGAAGGATTGTTATGAGGTTCTCTTTAGCTAAATGTAAAGAATTAGAAGAGTCTGGATGTGAGGAAAGAACAGTTGCTCTACTGGGCCCTACTAGGTGCAAAAGTCATCAAGGTCACCGAAAATACCAGCAAAGCCCAAAGCCGGCTTCACCAAGCTACAGACACTAACGGTGCAGGTGGCAATTAGCTTATAAAACTGCACTGCCCCAGCTGGCTGACGGGAAGTGCAGGTGTCTGGTGAAGCGAGACGACGCTTTCCTGTCTCTTAGCCCCTCTCCTAAAGACGAGAGCCATCAATGTGTTCTTCACTTTTTCCTTTCCCACCGCCCATTCCACCCCCTACATCATTTTAGACCATCTTCTTTCCACTGAGACCCTGACTCAGAATCTAAATGGAGTGTGCCTTGAGAATAAGCAATATGGAAAATTTAAATGGAGCCCCTGAAGCCACATGGTGACTGCCACCCTCATTTATTTTCTATTCTTAGGTTGCTTTCTTTGGCAGTGTCACAGCATACATGGCTTCCAGGAGCCTGTTCTTCATTTTCCATCAGGATCTATCCATCCTAATATTTTCAGTGCATATTGAACACCTTGGAATTTCCTTCTTTTTTGCTCTAAAGCCAATGCTTCTCCAAATGTGCCTTTCAAACCACTTATGAGCGAATCAACAGTGTATAAAATGCAGATTCCTCAATTCAACCTGGGTCTCCTACGTCACTCAGGTGAGGACCAGGATTCTGCAGGGCTTTTCCACAAATTCTCGGGTGATTTTTATGCACATTGAGAACTGCTGCTTTTCTCATTCTCCAAATGAACTGAGGGCAATGCAAACATGTTTCTTCCCTAACACACTATAAGCTTGCCATACCTTACACTACATCACCAATTCTCAATGTGTGGTCCTGGGGTTGCTGGGAATTCATACACCAAGGAGGTCTACGGGGTCAAAACTATTTTCATAATAAAACTAATGCACTTTTTTTTTTTTTTTTTTTATAACCATTCTCTCATGAGTGTATACTAGTGTTTAGCATTTCCATAATAATCTGAAAAGCCTGGTAAAATACTCCTCCCTTTTCTAACTACGTATCTGAATGAGGGCAGATTTTCTTTGCATACTTCAACTAAAACAGCATTCTGCAACAAATGAATACAGAGGCAGATATAATTCAGCTGTTTTCTACTCAGTTGGACATTACAAAGATTTGCAAAAATTAAAATCTATGCCATTCTCACTAATTCTTTTCTGCAAAATAGTGTTTTTTCATAACTATATGTTAGAATCTAACAGGTTACTCTCATTTAAAAATGCATTAATAAATATGTTGAAAGTTTCTCGGTTTTAATATCTAATATGGAAATATCAATAGCCCACATGAATAAAAGCACCTTGGAGTCCTCAATAATTTTTAATAGTACAAAGGAGTCCTGACATAAAAAATTTTGAGACATGCTTCCCCACATTTTAAATAGTCAGAAAGTAAAGACCACCAATTACAAAACAGATAAGACTGAGACAGATATTTAGAGCTATTCAAATGAATTACCTGAATATTTTAATTAAATTTTAAAAAGATTTACTGAGCACTACTACGTATAAGATGCAATGTCAATCACTTCCTTTAAGCAGTTAGTTATTGGACCTCAGCACATCCAGAAGGGTGAAAAATAAGCCTGTTCTGGCAAACTGCTCCTTGCCCTAGTTTAGTGCACTAATCTTTAGTTTTTCAGAAACTACATATTTGTTCCCTGAAAAATGTAAAAACTTTGACTTGCTTTAAACTCCTAAAATAAACATTCCTAAAAAGCAGATATAAACTTGCTTTAAGACTCTTGTTAGATTCTGTGACTCACTTATTTACCTGTTGTTATACACTGACATCTTAAGCTTTCAATTTATTAAACAGGGTACAGTTTTAGATTGTTTTAATTTTATTATTATTTTTTTAAAGAACTGTATTGATTTTAGAGAAAGGAAGAGAGAGAGAAACATCAATCTTGCCCCAACTGGGGATGAACCCGCAACCCGGGCATGTGCCCTGACTGGGAATAGAACCTGCCACCTTTTGGTGCACGGGACAGTGCTCCAACCACCTGAGCCAACTGGCCAAGGCAGCTTTAGGTTATTTTAATCCTAGTTTCTAAGTAATTAGTAGAAAGAAAGATTCTACTAAAGGTGCACACTGAGACTTTTAGACAGTTACACCAGGTAAAATAGTACTATATCACCCAAGGCAAGTCTGATATATATATAAATTAAAGCTACATACCAAAAGTAGATTTTCTATCTGCTATCCATTGCAAGGCCCAATCTGCTTTCTTCTTAACATATGGCATTGTTTCAATTGCATTAAATAAAAATTCCCTGTAAAAACAAAAGAATTAATGGCAAAGTTATTCACTTGTTTTTCTTAATCAAAATAAATGTTCATTGGCTAATCAGAGATAATAATTGCAACTCTCTGGTCTACTACCAAACCTGTAATTTTTCTGTATTTTTGCATATCCATAAAATATAAAAGTTAAAACTCAAGTTAGTGGTTTGGATCTGGTCTGATACAAAACTAAATTCAAATATTCAATTGCTAAGCAGAATGTGCTCCACAGAGTAACAGGTTCTATACATGTTCTTTTTTTTTTAACCACATTATAGAATAATAGAAAACACTATCCTCCTAAACTTCCATATTTGAATAGTATTTCCCTAACATTTAGTTTCAGAGTAAATTCTGCTCTTAACATAATCAAGCAATATAAAACTTTGTAAATAAAATCCCAGCGGTGATACCTTTCCTTGGGATCTCTGATGTAAGTGTCTATTAGCAAACTGTACATCTCTGAGTGAACATTCTCGATGAGAATTTGAAAGCCATAGAAACAGCGAGCTTCTGGAACCTGCACCTCCTGACTAAATCGTTCCACCTATGAAAAATAAGGGAAACAAATATATCCAATTCTGTGGGCTCTCATTAAACACCATAAATCAGAATCTGGACGTCAGAATTATCACTTAAAAATTGCCTGTCATGCCACTAACAGGTCAGACAGGATTATGGATTATTTTAAGCAGTACTGTTTGTAAACCCACCACAGTAAATATGTTGCATAATGTATTCTTAAGCAATGAAATTATTTGACCTGTTAGGTGGAGATACTGACTATAGCACCAAATAAACTGTAGAACATCTACCAAAAAATAATTATTTCACTTTGTAGAATTGACCATAAATCATTTTGTTTTTCCAACAGCAAACAGTAGACCTACTGAAGCCCTTCTTCCAGTTCATGATGAAAGTTCACCTCTCTCTATTCTCTTTAAAGAAAACACGCCTTCTGGCCAACCACAATACAGGTTTAAATATGGGGAGTCAGAACCCAGAGCTCTGTTACAGAGCTCCAGAAGGGTTATTAAGGTGCAGGTTCTTCATTAGGGTTCACATCTAAGGGTAAAAATCAAACTCATGTTTATGCATTTTAAGTAGTTTTGATTGGCACAAGGTTGTTGATGTAATGATATTTTGCTGGTCAAAGAGAAATGTATCCTTTCCTCTGACACTTTATCAGAAAAACATATTCAAGAAATAAGCTTCATCTAGTTCATTTCCAAAACATAATTTTTTAGGTTCTGTCTAATTAACTTACTGCCATTACCATCGTTTAACTGCTGAATGGGAACAAAAGTAAAATAAAACAGAAATCTTACCAAATTTTCATTCACAATTCCATCACTGGCTGCAAAAAAGGCTAAGATGCGAGAGATAAAATACCTCTCATCTTCTTTAAGCTTGTTCCAGTGAGGGAGATCCTTTGATAAGTCAACCTAAAACAAAAAGATTTTCAAAATTTTAACTTGAAGTTGAATTCTTCTCAAAATGTTTGGAAAACTAACTTCCACCTCAAAGTTAAGGAGAAACATCTCATTAGCAAGAAAATGTTTAAAAAGGAGAAAATTTTAATATCACTGCTACAGACTGAATGTTTGTATTCACCACCACCCCCCAAAAAAATTCCTATGTTGAAAACCAATTTATACTACATGGGTCATTTTCCATTCCCAACGTAAACCTTTCTGTACAGCTTTACCTTATTTGAGTAAATTCTCCAATTTACCATCTAAATATTGATTCCAAACTACTAGTTGTCAGAATTCCCTGGGTAGCATTTAAAAAAACAAAAACAAATCCCAGAACTTTGTCTTCTGAATCAAGGTTTTTGATGATTAGCCATATTTAGGAATAAAGCTAAATCACCGAAAAAACAAAGTCTAAAGATTAAATTATAACTTACATAATTTTTTTAAATGAAAAATATGTGGAACTAAATGTGTTTGACTTCCCTTCAAAATACGTAATTGAATCTTCCTAAAAGCTGCCTACAAACCTGTATATTACAGGGCGGGGCAAAAGTCGTTTTACAGCTGTTCATATGGAAAATACAATAATTAATAAATAAGAATAAACTTTCATGTATTCACAACTATAAACCTACTTTTTGCCCCATCCTGTATAATTTTTCAAATTAGTGTTTCTTAGTCATAACACAATATATATTACATTTGCTAAAAGATGCATATAATTTTCAAATGAATTTCAAGAAACTCAAGCATCGCAAGTACCTTTTTAACACAATAAATGAAAAAGCCACCTGTATACTCCCCTTGTTCTCTTAACTATATCTAACAAAAAAAAACCTTTAAAACCACAAACAGTAACAGTCAGGTGTGCCAAGCACTCTGACCCAATTTGAAAATGCTGGGGTATTGTTTTGCTTTGCTCTATATGTTAAATTTAACAAAGATGTTAATGATATAACAATACAATATAACAAAGCTGAGTAAGTGGGTAAAAGTCATGACAGAAGCTTCAAAAATTGGTGCTTCTGATTTCTAGTGCAAATCTCCCCCATTCTGAGAAAATAATAGCTTACATTTATTTGGTGCTAACTAAGTGCCAAGTAACATTCTAAACATGGCATTCATTTCATTAATAAGATTTATCTCATTAGTCCTCATAACAACCCAAAGAACCAGGTACTCTTAGCTCAATATACCAATGACAATACACACAGAGGTTAAGCAACTTCAGTTCCAGAGTGAGTTAAGTGGTAGACCCAGGATTTGTCTGCTCCAGAACCTGCATTCTTAACAGCATGTATTTACATTTACAGAATCAATCTCATGAAAAATAGGCAGATAGGTCCAACTATGTCTATCCAAATATATACATACACACACACACACACACGATTGATTGATCGATTGATAGACAGACAGACAGACAGACAGACAGACATACACAGAGAGCCAGAGTGCTATGCAGGTATCATCCATCATACGCAAAGATGAAGAAAATGGCTATTTTTGTGTTAGGTTAAACTACAGAGCAACCACTTGCATGACCAAATGTCCTTACCAAACCAGCAAGTATTTTCTAATTTGTTGTGTTCAACTCATTTCCAAGGTGGAAAATGCCACTAACAGAAAGCATTCTACAGCTGTCCTGTCTGCTGGAGCAGCTGGGGCAGGTTTGCTGTGGCTGAGAACAGGGCAGGACTGGGAGGAGCACTGTGAATTCTGAAGTGAGTGCACTGCCTAGTGGTCAGTGCTTCATGTGACAGCTCCTCCTGTACAATCAGACAAGTCTCTCATTTGAAAGCAGGGTCCCTAAGGCCTTCACTTTCTTTTTATGGCTATAGCTGCAATTTTACTTATTCTGCTGACCATAAGTAAAGACTAGTTTGATCACAGCAAACCAAAAGTCTGTTTAAAAATAAAAACGTACTAAAATATCCTGGAAGTAAAAATCTGGAAGACTAAGATGCCACTTTTGTGGTAGGAAACATGTTTATAGCCACTAAAAACCAAACATTGGCCAACACTGTATTTAATCTCAGTAATTTCAAACATTATCTTATATAAGTGATTTTATTCAACGCATCTTACAATATAAGTTAAAATTTTTCGATGTCTCATAACAAGATGTGAACACTGCAACACGGATCATGGTTGCTGATTAAGGTGATGCCGCTTACCTCTTCTGCTGTCCAGAAGGATGCCTGAGCCTGTTTATACATTTTCCAAATATCAGGGTACTGGATCGGAAAGATGACATAGCGGCGAGAACTCTTTCTCAGGAGTGGCTCTTCATTTTCGTTGGTATCTGAAGATAACCTCTTTGAAAATTAAAGTACAAACGCCCATTTTGTGTAGACATTTACTCTTTATTCAAAATCCACAGAGTAATACTTTCTCAAAATGCATGAGCATTCCCTTTTACCAGGTTAAAATTACTATACATATTGAAACCATGCAGCATGTTGTTGAGGGGGCATATTTCACAGAATGAGACAATAAAAATAAGACTGAAAATCAGCACTTCGGAAATTGCCACCGCTACAGTAGAACCTGACATGAACCAAATGACCCTATATTATTCCAGACTGTCCATTATAGTACAAAATCGTGTCCGTTTACAGTAAGTGCATAGTATTATTCATGTTTTCAGGCAAGTCATTTTATCTGAGCATCATCATCTGTAAATCAAAGATACTTGCCATACTTATTTCAAAGTAATGTGTACTCTGCACACTCTCAAGTGCTATACACTTTTTAAATTATTACTGTGTTATTGACTGTTGGGATGCTTCTGGTTGGTCTTTTAAAGGCTACCTCTATATTCAAAGAACTGATAAAAGAACTATTATAGTGGTTAATTATTTGGTCACTCAATACCTTCTATGACGGCCTTTAGGAAACTTTCATTCATGAAATAAAGAACTCTTGGAAAAGCTTTGAACTTAAAGCCCAATTGAAAAGGAAGAAGTCTGCAGTCAACAGATATTTCAACTTGTCTTGCACCACATAGTTCTTCTAGATTGTGCTTTTATCATCATATATAGGTTTTTGATACGATTCTGCATTTTTTTCTTTTTCTTTCTTAAACATATTTTGTCACTGGGGTACAGAGCTGGAATTCTTTACCTTCACTCTATCTGCTATGTGGGCCCCACTGAAAGTTGAGAAGGACATCATAAGCAGCAACCCTTTGGCACCAAGCACCCTGGTCCTGAATGGGGTTTTTAAATGCTGACAAATAATTGATCAGCATCAGGATCTATGAAAACTGCTCAAGACCTGTACCTTCAAATCAGAATGAAAATCATGTGTGTACATTTGTTCTTCCTGTTCCATCCTGATAATATGTGGATTGTTAAGAGAAGCAGCTGGATTAGGAGGGTAGTATGAGGGATTTTACAATGTGAATAAAGGAGCCTTAACCAACATAAACCTTTGAACTGAGGTAGAGATGACATATTGCTTATTTTCATGATGCTTAGAAAAGTCCACACACGTTAATGCAAAGCCAGGAGGGTCACACATTCTAAAGCTCTAGACTCTCCACGGTATTCTCTGTGGACCTAGGTTAGGAAGCCATATTTTAGAAGAGAAAGCAATGTAGGAAGAAAGAAAAAAAAAGCCTAAGAGCATGTAACATTTTTTTAAAACTGGAAGAAACTCTGTAAGTCTGGACTTCATGGCATGTGGGGACAATGGGAGGAGACGAAACCAGAAAGAAGGTAGAGAACGCTTCCCAAATGTGTTTTCCAAATGTGCTCTGAAGAACTGTGGTGCCTCTGTCCTCTCTGTCACAAACATTAGATAAAACTTCAGTTTTAAATGTTTTTAACCTTTTAAAATAGTAATAAAAATAACAAAATTGTTTTCTACTGTACAGAAAGGAAACCACCAGTACATGAACTTGTGTTTCCAGGTTGTCAGTTTTCTTTTTTTTGTTGGGGGGGAATAACCTCAGATGAAAGTTTCTCTAGCTATCTCTACTTAACTGAAGAATAACATTAGACTAAAAGACAGGCAGTTAAAAAAAATAGTAATAAAACAAACAAAAAACCGCAGCAAAAATTAAAAATTACCCTGTAACCATTTGTATTTATTTTTTAGGCATAAACCAAAAAAATTTTGAACCCTCCCCCTGTCCCCCAAAAAGGAAAAAACAATGCTACTAATAGTACCAAGAATACAGTAGAAGCACTCTTATTCAAAGTGATGCAAACTGGTCGTTGAAAACTGGCTAAAGTAAGAAATCATAAGAAAATAATTTGACTTAAAACATATAATTTACACTTATTTGCTAATCATCTTTTATAAAGCCAAAGCTTTTTGTTGCTGTTAATCTGGCTCACTGACTGGAGTCCCAAGTCTTTCTGACATAAACACACTATAATGCATCACCTATGCTTTCTAGTGTTAACATACTTAAGACAGAACAATTTGAGTACAGAATCCTTACCTCTTTTATAAATCTCACCAATCTCTTTTTTATTTGTTTGTTTATATCTAATTCTACAGAATTTGTTTTTAATAACTCATTTTTATTGGGTTTCCCAAACTTTCAAATTTTCATAGAGACAATTTCTTTTCATACTCACATACTATTAGTTTACATAATATTTAAATTACAATAACTATAAATACAACTGGTATATAAATAGGACTAGAAATAAAGATAACTGATCCTAGTAAGGTAAAACTCAGAATTATGGGAATGCATCAGAGAGCAGCCTAAATGCATCCTAAAAGCCTATGGGTTGATAAATCCATAGGCTGGCTAGCAGTAAATTGATTAAGAGAACTTTGATAAATATGCAAAGAAACTGTTTGCTAAGTTTGATATAAATCTTCAATTATCGAGTACACCCCAATTCAAAGCAACAGGTTCATCAAAACAGCTTTATTATTCCATTAATTGATTTCATAAGTAGTAGTTCACATACTAACTTTAAAAATTACACTAATAAAATAGGCAAAAGTGGATTTAATCAGTGCTGCACTTTTAGTTTTTTTTTGGAAAATAAGCCCAGGTGTTAAAGCCACGGGAGGGCCTTCAATGCAAATATACATGAATTTTGCCACAGCTGTTTCCCTATAGCCGTTTTGATACAACTGTTTTGATACTTTACCTCAGTGTCATCATTTTGATGAAACAAATGAAAAAACACTTAACTTTCACCTTTTAAAATCTGTACTCCATCTCTAGGCTTTATCGGAGGTTAAGGTGGGTATGTCTATTTTGCATATTAAATGAATATTAAGATGTTGACTTAAAAAAATTTGGAGCAAGTCAAAGTGATCTGCTTTGATATATAACACTGGCATCTGGCCTCTATCATGCAGACTACTGGTAGCTGCTGAAAGTTTTTAAGCAGGTGAGAAACCACTTTTACAGAAATGTGGTTAGAAGAGAAATTGGAGGCGGAGAGAACAACTTGAAAATTACTGCACTCCCCATCTCTTGCCCAAAATAGGATCTCAGCAGTAGAAACACAAAAGAAAATGATTTAAAACACATAGAAAATGCTCAGCACCTGGAGGACAACTGAATAAATCAGACAAAAACTGTTGCTTCTCTAATTAGACGTTTAGCAAACATTTCATTTGAATTAACCCCTCCCACCAACACAAGCCACAACAAAAATAAAAAGTTGCAAACACAAAAGTCTTTAAAAAGTCAGTTTGGTCAATAAAAAAGATAATGGGTTCCATTTCAAGATATTCAGTGGATAGCTGAAAACATAACACTAGGGTAGGCAGAGGCACGATCTCCACTCCCTCCCTAACAGGGTAATGATGCCATTAGGAATTGCCCTGGGGAGGGTTTTGATTATCCAGGGAAATCTTGGAGAGCAGCAGCGAGCCTGAGGACGAAGCCCAGAGAAAAGGAAGATGATAGGAGAGGAGCCAGCTGGGATTAAAACCGGCTGAAGTGGATGTAAAGCAATGGCAGAAGTGATCTGATTTGGCCAAAGGGTCAACAGCCGAGACAGGGAGGAATTTGGTAAAGGATCCACACTCTGGATATCAGTCTATGAGGTTAGGAATTTCGTGGGCCAAAGAACTTCAGACATCTGGAGGACTGGGAGGCTCAGATTCTAATTCTCCCCACTTGCTCCCAGCCTCCAGGTGCTGGCATTCTTGTGCAGCACAATTTGAAAGTCATTCCTATGGATAGTCATGCAAAATTCCTGAGTAGCAATTAACATGAATAGGAACGGCATTAGGAAGATTAATCGGATATCCACGAATGACAAAAAACAGCAGCTAGATTTTGGTAGTAACTATGGTGTCAAGTTCAGAGATGGAAATGACAACCTGAATTAAGATACTGCAGTTAGCATGAAAAAGCTGCTTGAACAGGGCTTTGCCAGTCAGAGAAGTTGGGCATTTTTTGGCGGGAAATGAGACCCTTCGGGGAGTTTTTATTTGGAGGGAGTGACATGGAGGCACTGGTTTAATGATGGGTTAACTTGGCAGGATTGGATAGCAGGTAAGACTGGAGGTAGAGAGACAACTAGGTGTGAGGCGATGAGAATCTGAAAATTTGCAGAGACATTCCTTAGCGACATTCCACCACCTCTTCCATCCCAAGAGCTTTTGATTCATGATCAAAATTGATTACTGGGTGTAGTAGGTCCAGTAATTTATATTTTTTTTACAAAGTATTCCAGGTGATTCTGATGCAGGTGGCCCATGATGCACCTCAAATCTAGTACCTACGGCATCCTTGTATCTCAAGTTTAAAACTTTCAGACCATATGCTCACTAACATTCATTCTGGATCTAAAGTTCTGCTTCTCTCTTTGTGGGTGTGGATCACTGAGATAGGGATAGTAAATAAAAACTAACTTCCAGGTCTTCAGCCTGAATGATTGCTGGTGCCATCAGCACAAAAAGAAACATGTGACTTGTCTTATTCAAGTGGGGAAATCAGTACTAAATGTATTTGCTTCAAAACGGAAGGAAAAGTTTGAGAAATATTTACAATTTGTTACTTAGTTACTAAATGTTTACAAAATCAAACTAAAATAAAACCCCAAATCTGGAATCTACAACTGTCTAAAGGAACGTAGGGCTAAGTTGAATTCTCTGTGAGCTGAAACTATTAAATCAAAGAAACTACACGCTGCAGCAGGTTGAAGCGAAACAAATGGTTTAGAAGTATTTGCAAAATAACAGGGTACGAAAATTATAGAGCAACAACGTGAACTACCCTACAAACCGAATGAATCTTGGTTTCTTTACTGTCATTATGTACTTTTATTAATGCAGAAGCAGAATGGAGGAACGCGTTAACTTAGGTTTTATGAAGCATCCCTAACTGCAGTAGTGCTTTGCACTAAGCATTTTACTTAATGCTCTGCGGGGGCAGTATCGCTTCTACTGTATAAATGAAGAAAGTTACATTCCGAAGACTCACAACTAAGTAGCCAGGTCTGAGCAACACTGGCCTCCTGAACTGCTGCTTTGACTGTTAGGAAGATTTCCAGTCGTCCCTGAACCTGTCACCTGCACCCCGCCTACCTGTGCCAGTTTCCACAGGCGTCCTCCGATTCCTTTTACCCACCCCACAGATGGCACGCACTTCCGTAGATCCGCCAGCCCTAGCTCCTTGCCTCAGTTTCCCCGGCCAGGGCCCCAGAAAAGGGAAGGGCAGGAGGAGAGCGGAGGAGGGGGTGCGCCTCGCCCCGGCCTGAAGCCGCAGAGCGTTGCCCTTGGCTGGCCCCGGTCCGGAGCAGTGGAGCAGAAACCCGGCTCTCGCCTCGCCCCTCCCCGGGGACGGCCTCCGGGGCAGCTTTAAAAGACGAAACCAGGCTGCGGCGAGGGCTCCTGGCCCGGCCTACACGGCGTTTCGAACGGCAACGGGCAGCGTTTCCTACAGCGCTCCTGCGCCCGGCGAGCCCGCGCCGCAGCCCGCGCCCCAGAGGCCGGGGTGACTGTGGGACCGCAGAAAAGGCCGTAGCAACGT